GATCCAATGTTTATGCCAGAACGTGGAAACTGATCTCATGTTTATGCCGGAACGTGGCAACCGATCCCATGTTTATGTTGAAACGTGACAATTAATCCCATGTTTATGCCGAAACGTGGCAACCGATCCATTCAACAAACCACAATCACAATCACAATGTATATTCTCACAATCATACAACAAGAGGTGATTCATGACATACAATTAATCAATTATCCTCATTTATGATTAGGGTGATCAATAATGCAACATTCGTATACATACATGCATTATAATGAGCAATTACAACATATATCACACAAACATGAAATCACAACCATTACCTACCTCAAATCCAAGCTTGAATCCCCTAAGACACTTGAATCTTCCTTTCTAGATTCTTCCCGCTTGTTCATGGTCTAAAAACATACAATTAACGCAAGGATCAACAATCAAAAGTCTAATTATCCGGATTATAACAAACCCAATAACCCTAGACCAACCCAAGATCCCAATACCTAATTTAGGGCTTTTTCCACCATAGATTCTAGATCAAAACCCTCCCCCATCAATAATTACCCATTAGATTACGTTCGACGGATCGAAAAATGGATTCGGGGAGTTAAAATCTTACCTTTAACCTCAAGAATGGTGGAAAATTGTCAAGAATCGCTTAGGGTTCGTTCCTTAACTCTAAAAATCGAAAAGTGCAGAATAAAGACGTTTTGGGATTTATTTGCGACCTTAAGTCGCGTCGGACCCGCCACAACGGTCCTCACCCTGCTACAACGTCCCCGCCCTGGTGGCAGAAATCCCGCTCCAGCGGCTTGCACGGAACCAGTGAGCAAAATTAAGAATTCCAAACCCCCATTTCACAGCATGCCATCAGCCCGTGACACTCAGAAAATACCGTTCACGCTAAGATCGATTCCGGGAGTTCTACTCACCCGAATTCAATTTCGTAAAGTCGTACAGATTCCTTAACGTCTTAGCTATCTACTCATGTAATCAAAATCATAATTAAATCACTCGATTGTTACCATATTTCCCTACACCTTAATGACTCCGATTTCGTCCAAATCTGGACTAGGTTGGAAAATTTCAAGTTACTACGAAAAAGTTTTCTGACCCCAATTCTTTCTCCATTGGCTTTTCCCTAACGATGGAATCAGGTCGTTACATCTTCCTTTCTTTCTTAAACTTCGTGTCAAGTCAAACTAGCTCACATAAAATGGGACGGAGGAAGTATATATATACATTATTGATTTGTATCACAAAGCCATCACATTCGTCATAATTTTGTGATAAACTTGCCCCACACAAATATGTCAGCAATTTAATATTTGTCATCTAGACAATTAGGACGCAGCTAAACAGTTCATCGACCCTCATAAAAAAAAAACACATTGTATACGTAAAAATAAATAAATTATATATTAAATTTTCATGTATCTTTAATTTATTCAATCAATAAAATTTTATTGATTGAATAGTTGTGTTTCCATATAAATATCGGATATCAATGTAAAAAATCTATTTTGTCATCGTTTATCTCTATTTTTTTTAAAAATAAATTGTTTCATTCTTTTTGGTCATGGATTAAACGTGAAATAGAGTAAACGTGTAAATAGCATATGGCAAGTCCCAAAAAAGAAAAAATAACATACTAAGAAAAGAAAAATATCATGTTAACACGTGGCATTGCCTAGTTTTTTCCCGTAACTTCTAATTACTGTTATGATTGAAAAAAGTATATAACTCTCATCATTTTAATGTATTTACTCTCTCCGTATTAATTTATGTGACACTTTTTAAATTTTGAGATTTAAATAATTTTATTTTTCATCGTGATCTTTTCATATCTTTTAATTATTTTGAATTGTAATTATTGTGATTTATAATACTTTTTACATAGTTTATAAATATATAAATTTTTATTTCAAAAAATTTGAAGATTTCATGCATAAATTTCGGATCAAACTTAGATTGTTTGACTCTCGAGAAACGAAAGTGTTACATAAATTAGGACAAAAGGGGTATTTTTTTTTAATTTACACCAATTTTCATGATCTTATATTAAATTTACGTTAAATTGATCAAAATATTATTTGATTTCGTAATTTTAATAAATAGAAAATTGAAATTTTAAAATATTATCAACGAACTAAAGCGGAAAGTAAGAGAAACAAATTGATTGCGGTGTTTGGCATGGGCCCATCTCACACTGAAACATGTCTCTCCTGCCGTATTAACAGCGTCCTAAAAACACATACAGCGTTGCCACTTGTGTGTGTATTTTCCTCTGTCTTTCTCAAATTAGGAACGCAAAAAAAAAAAGATCTTTATTTTCTACAGCTACAAGGGCTTCTTCTTCTCTCCCTTTTGTTTAAAAATCTGTATTAAAAGGTAAAAATTTCAACTTTTTTGATATATTTTTCATAAAGACATCATAATTGTATTGTTTTCTTGATTTTGGGTGTTCTTTGTTTTGTTGTTTTTTTGAGATAATATGATTCAAGATTGGCCCTTTGATGTGATACTATGCAACCCTTCTGTTGAATTGCGGATTAACAGAAGGGTTGATTTGATTGACGATATTAGTAGTTTAGTAGGTTGGGTATCTGAACGGGGTTCAATTTCCATTTCCCCTTTCCCTACCCTTAATTTTGAAAAAAAAAATGATTTTTTTTGTTTATTGATATATATTTTTGTTTAAATTAATACTCAATTGCAGGATTTCTGTGATTTTTATTCATGGTGGGATTTTGGTGAAGAAACTTTACAGCTTATTTTCAGAAAAAGAAGAGACCTTTACAGCTATTATGGATAATTTATTTGAGTGTCTGACTGATTTTTTTATATTGATTTATTTGTATGTACTAGCTGTTGCTTTTAGTTTTTGAGTAATTTAAATGTCTAAGATAACAAACACTAACTTTGATGTTCTATAAACAACATGCTCTTCTTGAAGTAGGAACTATCACTTGTTTTTAGTTTGTTCTTTTTCTTAATACTTGAATATGCGATATTTAGGCCCGGAGTTTCTTTCAGAAACAACATATCTAGCTCCACGAGGTAGGGTAAGGTTTGGGTACACTCCAGTGGGATTTCAATGTGTTTGCTGTTGTTGAACTATCATTTGTTTCCTTGGAAGTAGGAATTCCCGAATAAGTGTCATTATTTCTCGAGCCTTCTTTGGGATTTGTTCATTTATAGGAAGGGTAACTTGGAATCTCCGGATTATACTTTACATTTTGCAAGAGGTTGCTTCCATATTTTGACTTCGTAACCTTCGATCACACGGGAGCAACTTTATAGTTGTGCCAAAGTTTCCATTCAAAAGTTTGTTCATTTATATTTCACATAAAGTTAGATCAACCGTATAGTTCCTCCATTGCACCTTTCTTTATAGGTTCCTTGCAATAGATGTTCTCTGTTAATTGTTGTTTAAATTGATTTGTTTGAATACAAACATGTATAACAAATTCGGGGTAAATACACATATATGATCAATCAATAACTAACACCAATTTTACTCAAGATGCAGTTCTTTACCTTTCAAATCTTTAATTTCTATAGTTGGAAGCATAATACTGTCTAGCTACTGAAATCGTTTCCTCGTATTTCATCTTTTCCAGGGAGGCAGTGGAAGTTCATCTAGTTGTTTGATTACGCACTTTTTCAGCGTTTTGTAGTGGTAATTGAGAAGAGATAATCCTAGGAATGCTGAAAAATGTGTTTGAGTGTCTCGAATTCTAAAAGTGATCATCTCGAGGCTTTGGGCTTAGTAGAGTTGCCATTTTTCATCCTTGAGAATATTGAGCCCAGGTGCAACGACCATAGCATCATTGCTTGCGCCAAGATGCAAAGTGCATGGAGTATCTGTACATTGCGTGTTGTGTTAATAAACGATAATTTGTGCGCGGATGGTTGAGTGGCAGTAGTTTATAAGGTTTTGCATCTAAGTTTGTACTAGAAAGAGATATATAGATTTTATTTTTAATGGCCAATAAAGGAAGCATACTGATGGAGCGCTATGAAGTGGGCAGATTATTAGGTCAAGGAACATTTGCTAAGGTTTACTATGCGAGGAATATCAAAACCGGACAGAGTGTTGCCATCAAAGTCATAGACAAGGAAAAAGTTCTCAGGGTCGGGCTCATGAATCAGATCAAACGGGAGATATCTGTTATGAAGCTAGTCAGACATCCAAATATTGTGCATCTTTACGAGGTCATGGCAACAAAAACCAAGATATACTTTATCATGGAATATTGTAAAGGAGGTGAGCTCTTTAACAAGGTACTTAAGGGAAGGCTAAAAGAGGACGCCGCACGGAAATATTTTCAGCAGTTGATAAATGCTGTAGATTTCTGCCATAGTAGGGGTGTCTATCACCGGGATTTGAAACCTGAAAACTTGCTGTTAGATGACGATGAAAACTTAAAAATTTCAGATTTTGGTTTAAGTGCTCTAGTTGAGTCAAAGCACCAAGACGGACTCCTCCACACGACGTGTGGGACTCCAGCTTATGTTGCTCCGGAGGTGATCAACAGAAGAGGCTATGATGGGACTAAGGCTGATATTTGGTCGTGTGGGGTTGTCCTATACGTTTTGTTGGCTGGTTATCTTCCATTTCAAGACTCAAATTTGATGGAGATGTATAGGAAGATTGGGAAAGCTGAATACAAATGTCCGAGTTGGTTTCCACCAGAAGCCCGACGTCTACTTTCAAGAATGTTGGATCCTAATCCAAGTTCAAGAATTACCCTTGCAAAAATTAGAGCAAGTTCGTGGTTCCGGAGGGGTATTTCAACTTCCTCTAAATCTACAGCAGTAGACGAAGTAAGCACGGATTCAGCTTCAGCAAATACAGAGGACAAGCAAGAAGTGGCTTCGATTCCAAAGTTGAATGCATTTGATATCATTTCCCTTTATGCTAAGTTCGATTTATCCAGATTGTTCGAGGAACCTTGTTTAAAGAAAGAAATTAAATTCACATCCCGGAAAACTGCTTCAGTGATCATATCCATGCTCGAAAATATTGCTAAACATCTCAAGCTGAAAGTTTGCAAAAGGGATGCAGGATTACTGAGGTTCGAAGGAACAAAAGAAGGAAAAAAGGGAACTTTGAGCATTGATGTGGAGATCTTTGAGGTCGTTGAAGCTTTTCATTTGGTGGAAGTGAAAAAATCAAATGGGGATACATTGGAATATCAACAGATATTGAACGAAGGCCTAAGACCGGGTCTTCAAGATATCGTTTGGACTTGGCAAGAAGATCAGCAGCTGCCTCAGCAGTCAGAAGACCAGCTTCACGAGCAGCCACCAAATAATCAACTTCAGCAGGAACAACATTTAGATAACCAGCAACAACCTCCGGAGCAGCAGCAACTGCTACTCCAAAACCATCTGATACAGCAAGAGCAGTTACCTTGATTACCATACACTTCCTTGTTCATATTTTGTCCTAAATGCAGGGGCTGAGCTAGGTGCACGTGAGTGGTTCCATTGAATCCCCTTCATCGGAAACGTCATACTGTGCAAATAGGGTAGGCATAATACATACATAAACACCTTTAACTTAGCCTCAACTTTCAACTAAATACTCCCAACTTTGAGAAACCTCAGCTCGTCTCTATTGTGTCTCATGGATGCCTGACACCGATAAATTTTGGAGTTGTCTAGATGATCATTTTGTAAGTTGGAGAGTTCAACTGACACAGTGGTGATTAGTTGAGGTGTCTATATGTGCATTTCTCAAAGTTGGATTGTTCAGTTGTCGGTTGAGGCCAAGTTAAGATGTCTTATCTATGTAACTGTCGAATCCTCTTTACATATGGAGGGAAAGTCGGTTTAAAAGTTTCTTTAACTAGCATGTTCAGATCTCAGGTATAGCATTCTTGCATTTTATTTTGAATTCTCTTTGTTAGAATTCCCGGTTTGTTCACCGCGTAGCCTAGATGTTCATTTTGTAGTTGAGGTTTCCTAATCATGGTGTTGTTTTGTACAATATATCTCTCAAAGTACAAGTGATTTTTGTTCTCATAGATACCATACTCTTGCTTGTGATTTTCTCTTTAATCTGCTGGTGTTTCATCAAGAGAAATTCTTCGTAAGGAGCGTTGTCGTGTTTAATGGAATAATGGAAACTATGCAGCGTAAATCTGATTTAGTTGAGCTAATAGATTTTGGATACTAGATGCCTATGAGGGCAGTCTGGTGTATAAAGTATCATGCATTCATGTAGAGAGTCTAAGGAAGGGCCACAATTCAAGGTGTGATAGTAGACAACATATCCTAATATAAATATTTATAATTTTGATCAAAGCTTATATGGTTTGATTATCAAATCCATGACCAAAATATTGTACTTAACTAGTGTATCAATTTTTCAGGGTACCATTTTTTAAATCTGTTATAAACAACTCTACATTTTTATACAAATAGTTGGGTAAATTTACTCTTTTTTTCTGACAGTGTACATAAATTGTATATGATTATACACATTATATATGAATTATACATATATTATATATCTGCCGATGATTTTAATTTAATGCATAGATGGACGGGCTATTAAAATTAATTTTCTTTACAGTAAATTTACCATATTATAAGCCATACAACTTACAAGGCACGCATTTGCAAAAATAAACATAAAAATAGTGGGTATTTTAATGAAGTTCCACCCATTTTTTTGGGGCTATAAACTAGTAAATATTTAATAAAGAGAAATTATATCTTAAGATATAAATAAAAATAAAAATAATATTTTTTTTAAAATTATCATATTCTTAAAAAATGTGTAAAAGAAGAACACAATAAATAATAATCTCTCTATCGCTAATTACTTGTGGACAGTAAAAAAAAGTGGACAAGTACTATATTAGATCTCAAATTTCAATATAAAGAAACAATTTAATTTTAAAATTCTTATTATTTTTTTTATGAAATGACTTGTAACTATACAAATATTTATGATTTATTTTAGATCACATATTTTTAAAGGTATTATTTTTTCTTAAACTTCGTGTTAAGTCAAACTAACTCATATAAATTGAGACGGAGAAAATATTAAATCTCAAATTTCGGAATTTGGCTTCTCTCCATTTTCCATTCTTTCAATTTTCCTCAAGTTCTTATTCCGAGGAGAGGCACATGTCACAAATTTAAATCAATAGTTGTGATTTAATAAATTAAAGATATGATAAGTACTAACTATGATTAAGATAATTAATTACATTCATATATTTATTTTAAAAATATTTTTTTAATCCCCCAATTTTAATTGTACATGATATCTTTCCTAAATATATAAAAGGGATAGGGTCTGAAAAATATCCCAACTTTGGTCGGATTTGTTGTTGCGATACTAAACTTTCATGAGGACCTATTACCTCCCTAGACTATTTAATACTGTATTTTAAATATATATATATATATTTGTCCACGTGGACATAAAAAATAATGCAAAATTATAAATAGTAATGTGTCAACGTAGGCACATATATACCTTTAAAATACACTATTAAATAGTTCAGGGGGTAAAAAATACGATATTAAATAGTCTAGGAAGGTAATAGGTCCTTATGAAAGTTTTAGTATCGCAACAACAAATTCGACCAAAGTTGGGATATTTTTCAGACCCTTATCCCTATATAAAACTTTTCTTACTTGCCTTCAATTAATTTTAAAAATCGTACTTAGTTCTATTTTATTTTATTTTGCTTTTTTTTTATAAAAAAAATTCCAATTGTTTTTAATCTAATTTTGATATTTTGAAAAAGAATTAATTGCAATGTTTCAAGGAGAAGGTAAATTTGGATCCTCGTACTTTAAAAAAATATATTACTAGAATTTAGTGTAATTTTTTTTTCAAGTCGGGCAAGTATTGTAAATAAGATAGCAATCAAATATGTGATATATTTGACAAAATAGATATTAATAAAATACAAATAATTGAAAATACATATTATAAGCCTTCAAAGTTCCCTGATTACGCTGCTTTAAAAAAAAGAAAGTAAAAAGAATAAAAAATTAGTGACTAGAAATGTAGAATTGTCTAATATTTTGGGAGTAAATATATAAAATATTCATTACCTTAATTATAATTAATTTCAACTATTAATTTATATCTATAACATAATATATATCTCATCCAATAAAAATTTAGAGAAACTGGACAGAATAAAAATAGAGAGGAGTCGAATCCCATATTCTGTAATAGAGCATATGCATACAAGTCAAAACATTAATATAGGAAATAAGACAAGTGGTAGAGCAAGAGCAAAACAAGCTTTGATGATGAGTTATTTGTGCGATCTCATTTCTTCGATAAGATGTAATAAATATTATTTTCTAACTATTTGATTTTCAATAATTATTGGTATGATTAATTTAAATTCATATCATTTATAGTTGACTAAAAAAGAATATTCTTGCTAATATAAATTTCTTTATATCAATTTTCAAGACTCAAACTCACAGCTTCTTATTTTCTTATTAAGAAAATATAAGAAATATTTTTTTATATAAATTAAACACATAAGTGAAATAAGAATAAGTCAAAAATTGGAGGTTGAAGAGACAAAGATAACAAAGATCTCTCTTCTGTCGGCTGATAATTAAAAGTCAAATTTTTATATTTTGATAGTAAATTTGAATATAGAAGTTTTATAAAAATATGATGAGTATTAAAAAGAACACGGCAAAATCATTTTGGCCAACAACCAGGGGCAGACTTCTATTATTCCAAGAGACAACACGACCTATTCTTCTTTATTTTAAATTAATATAATCATATGATTAATTTAAATTAATGTTTGATAGAGACATAGAGCTAAAACTTATTTAAAAGGGTAACTTCTTTTAATCATAAATTTTATTTTCAGAATTTAAATCTGAATCTCTAATTTACAATCAAATTAAAATATCTCATTGATTATTATTTACGATATGATATTCATTCAATTATCATTCACACTATCTACTTTTTAAAGGAAAAAGTAAAATATAAATAAATTTAAGTTATATACGTGGCAAATAAGAGAATTTTCATACCAATTTAACACATGCTAGAGATTTGTTATAATTTTAATTATTAGGTTACCAACTAATTTTTACACACACAATAATAGTGTAGTTTTATTTCTCACAACAAAATTTTCAACCCACATACGAAAAAAAATATTAACAGTATATATGGGTAAGTGATGAATAACTTCCCTTTTACACACCTCTTTTTTTTAAAAATGTTTAATATACTCTCTCTTTATTATGTACAAAGCACACTCACTTTGTGATCAAATACAATTATGAATCTACTGACTCTAAATTATGGATCCACCTCTGTTGAAATCAGTACTTCCATCGGCTGTTGGCCGAGAATTACTGGCTTCATGTTATTCTTCAATATTTGTTTGTACATATCAATATCACCAACTTTTCGACGAACCTCAACAACAACAAACCCATCTATCACTCTGTAAATTTCCATGTTCATAATCAATTTACCTTTCTTCAACTCTATTCCCCATTCTTTTTTCTTCTTTAACCTCATATTCTCCTTCTTTGCCATTTCTTCTACTATCTCCATTACTATCTCCAATGACCCTTCAACAACTAATCGTTCGAAATCCTCTAAAGGGTTAAAACCGTCATTTAACAATCCTGAGAGGTCTAATCCCATAGAGAATGAAATTATATCAAAAGCATTCAAATAAGAATTCTTGTTCTTGTCATCTCCCTCCTTGACCTCTTCTATTTCCGCGCTAGGCTCATCTTGACCTGTGGAATCTGAATTCTGAATTCGTCTATGAGGCTTACCGTCTTCCTCACAGAATTTAACACGTTTCAAGCCTTTCTTAAACCAAGGATCATTCATGATTTCTTCAATGGTTATTCTTGTCATTGGATTTGTATCAAGAAGTCTACGTAAAAATCGTTTTAACTCAGATGACATCCATTTTGGACACTTGTATTCTCCATTGATAATCTTATGGTACATCCCCATAAGATTTGAATCATGAAATGGCAAATATCCAGCATTTAACACAAACAAGATGATTCCACATGTCCAAATGTCCGCCTATTAGAAAATAAAATAATAAAAAAGTAATAAGAAAGAATTGGAGATGTCAAAATAAACTTCCTAAAAGAAATATTACTCATATATAGACAAATCCTTTCCCAATACAATAAAATCCTAAATTGACTTTGTCACTTCTCATAAAAAGGACGAATTCATTATCGATGTGAAAACAAACTTTCTTAAAGAAATATAGTTCCTATATAAACAAATCTCTTCACGATATATAGAATCCTCAAAATTGGCTTTGTCACTTCTCATAAAAAAGATGAATTCATTATCGATGTGAAAACAAACTTCCTTAAAGAAATATAATTCCTATATAAACAAATCTCTTCACGATATAATAGAATCCTGAAATTGACTTTGCCAATTCTCATAAAAAGGACTTCATTCGCAATGTGAAAATAAACTTCCTAAAAGAAATATTACTGAGTATATAGACAAATCCCTTCACAATACAATAGAATTCAAAATTGACTTTGTCACTTCTCATAAAAAGGACAAATTCAATCACAATGTGAAAGCAAACTTCCTTAAAGAACAAATCCTTCACGATACAATAGAATCCTAAAATTGACTTGGTCACTCCTCATAAAATGGATGAATTTATCGAATTAAAAGATGAATATTCACATATCACATTTATAAAATCTTCGAGATTTGATTTTGCAACCTTTTACAAACTTAATCTAAATTTTATGCCATTTTTATGAAAAAATTCATTTCTACATCTAAGTGCTCTAAAAATCATTTTCATATATATGCAATTTGTAAGTCGTCACAACAGATCATTTCTTCTACGTAAATTATATAATTTAGCATACCTTAGCTCCATCATATCCTTTTTTTGTTAAAACATCTGGTGCCACGTAAGATGGGGTCCCACAAAGCGTGTGTAACAACCCATCTTGTTGTACTTGTTCCGTTAACGCACTTAGCCCAAAATCAGAAACTTTCAAATCACCATTTTCATCAATAA